AAGTGGGTCCCACTTTAAAAATGTGAAAAATGTCAAACATATGATTTGAACCCGGGTTATTAAGAAACAAACACTAACATTCATACCACTAAACTACAAGATAACTTGTACATTGATGGCAGAAACTAATATATATTTAGCCGGAAGCCTTTGCATCTATGGTCTCCTTTAAAGTTCGGGTCTGGAAGTGTATTATGAGTTTCATTTTTAATTGGGCTTCATCATATTATATGAAGAAAATCCTCAAGTTTACAACAGTTATAGTTTTCCCATATTGTAAACCATTAATGTTTAAAATGAGTTAAGATTCCTTTCACCATCGTCTCATACAGGTCTGAGTTACAGAGCTGCACCGTGTGTCTGTTCGTAATCTATTTTTTTCACCGGTGAACTTTTCATCTCCCCATCTTACATCGCTTGATCATAAATGTTCCTGATTTGTAGCCCCTCTGTAAATCATATATATATGATTCTCATCTTTGATGAACCCTATGTGCATCTCCACAAAACTTATCTATTCCTCTTAACTTTAACCATCTTCTAGAAAATGTCTCTCTCTCCTTCTCCAGTTCCTAAAACTAGCGTTACCGGCATCCGTCATGCAGCCTTCAAGTCTCTATGTCATGTTAAAGTAAACATAAGCCATACCAACCAAATTAACATATAGAACCTCAAATCATTCAGTATGGGTTTTAGTAAACAAAACTAATAATAATAGAAATAAAGTCATACAACAAATTCAAACCTTCTTATTGCAGGTTCCGAGAACACCGAATCAACAGAGGTTCACTGAGTAAGGAATGCGACAGAGACAACCTTAACTGAGGTGAGCTAATCTCTCTTCCATGTTGCTATAGAAAAACCATAATTTCACAAAATGACACACTAAAAACACAATTAGACCAAGAATCACAAGAGCTTGTCACACTACTGAAGATGACGAGGAGAAACAAAAAAGGCGAGTAAACAATCCAGTTTCAGATCTAAATTGAGACTCAAGACTCATCAAATTTCAAGTCCAATCATTTAAAACCCAGCTACTACATTTTCATTGTGTTCGAATATAGTCCTATACGACTAAACTTTTTAATCTACCATTCCTATTTTTAAACTACCACAAAATATTTTTGACAAATAAAAAAAAATAACTATCTTAGTCATACATGTATATAATTATACGAAGCATTAGCATTTATTAAACTACAGTTATATATATTCAAAACATGTCATGGCACATTGAAAACAACAAACTATATTTCTTTTCGAATAACAAAATTATTTCTTCTTTGTTCCCATATTATAGTTGTATAGTAACAAATACGTATATTTGGTTACATATGGTTATTAACTCACTAATAACATTAAGATCCAATTAAATCTTAAAAAAATGTAGAAATACGAACACATATAAATTCGTCAAACACTCTTATATGTAAATAAAAAAAGGTCTTTACTCATTAATAAATATTGATCTCTAAACATTCCACACAACCCCTTAACAAACATGTTTCATATTTTTCTCTTCTCCATTAAACTATATTTCTTTGTATAATTTAATAAAATCTTAATTTGTTTTAAAAAATGCTAATTCACTATTTAACAATAATATATTACCAACCTACAAATTAGACAATAACAACATAATAAATCACCAGTCCTAGACATAAAAGCACTAATAACACAAATATTCGAGAAAATCATTACTAAAATAATATATGAATATTTCAAAGCATATGAATTTTCACTCATTCATATACCAACTCAATTCAATCGGGTTTTCGGTTAAACCCCAAACAAAAAAATGTCCAAAAAATGACAAAATTCCGTCTATAAAATATCATAACGCATTATCATTGTCTCCGGCTCCGCGCTTGCGCGGAGCTTTGAACCTAGTGTGCTTTAATGATATAGCAGAGGCTCTGTAGACCAATCAGAAGGGAAAAAATCCCGATGATTGATAAAAGAGATAAGATAATTGATACGAGAAGGATATGTAAAAAGAGAATTATAAGAACGGGTGACTAATTTAATATATATGGAAACCATTATATCTAATCAATTAAAATAGAGTCATTCTTTTTATCTACTGATACAAGTTGTCATTTAAATTTGGATCCTTTCTAGAGTGTTACAAATAATATAAGTCTTATAATTGATTAAACCGCATTACTTAAATTAAACCAACACAATTAATGTAACATAGCGACCTTAATATAAAGTATCTTCAAAATATGGTAGATATCTATGTCTCTACCAAAAACACATATTTTCTCCTACAAATATGGAATGTTCTAAAAGAATATATCTCTATAATATTATTTGAGAAGTCAGTTTCCTACGTGTCGCGCTCACGTTAACTCTCACGATGGTTGATTACATAGATACCCTTAATGAATTATTAGACTTTAAGATTATTATTAATTTTTTATTTAGTTTCCTTTTTACCTTTTTCCAAATAACATATATAATAAAAAGGAAATACTTCTAAAATTTTAAAACAAACTTAAAAACGAAATATATGTATATAATATGACTTTATTAAAAAGGAAAGTTGACAAAATAGTAATATTCCCATTAATATATATTTTAAATAACAAAAATATATTTTCAAAATAATAAAAATATATATGTTCATGAACATTCAAAAATTTATCAGTTACACTATTTTCTAAAAAAATAGAAATCAACTTATAATTTGATATATATTATGAAAATATGTGTATATTTAAGCGACAAATAAAACAATTTGATTTAAATTAACTAAAATAAAGAGTAAATAAATATTATGAAAATACATGTATATTTAACCGTTAAGTAAAAATAGTTTGATTTGACTTAACTCAAATAAAAAGTAATTATACTTCAATTTTAATTTAAAAAAAAAATTAACTCAATATGCTCACAAAATGAATGACTCGGCTAATCTAATTTATATCCAAAATTAAACATCTAACTACAATAAGAACATATAATTTTATAATAATAATAATAATAATAGTCTATTTAATTTTATACATATAAATTAGAGGTTGACTCAAAGCATATTAAAAAGAAAAAGAAAATATTAACAAATTACAAATTAGTTATTTTGTAGAATTTATATATATGCATGAGATTTCAAAATATTATCATTATATTCTTTTATGTAATTTTGAATCAATCACTTCTGTTTATTATTTATTTCATTTTAAGCACAATATATATTAAGTTATACATAATTTAACTATAATATATTTACATATATAAGACAATAACTAACCGAAATGAAAATAAGAAAATTAATCAAAGTTTTATTATATTTAGAATAAAAATAGTATAGATGAATTCGAAAAATAGATATTATCCTAAATACCAAATTGATAACCAAACCGACTATTGATCCAAAAAATAATTAAACCGACAATGATATATCTAAAGTCATATGTATAATTAGAATAATATAATATTTATTAATATAAATTTATTCAAAATTAAAACTAAAACTAAATAGCAATTAATTATTATAAAATTTTACTTTTATGAATATTCATACCCGTGCATGAGCACGGGAAAATCACCTAGTATTATCAAAATATGGAATATGAAAATCTACTAATTATATTAATGAGGAAATCGTAATATACCATTTAGCATCTTAACAGTTCCTTAAAAAAATGGAAATTTAATAATTATATGAAACTAATGGAAATCTACTCTATTAAAATATGATCTTTTTTTATCTATTAATACAAATTGTCATTTAAATTTTGACTCTTTGTAGAGTGTTACAACAAACCATATAGTTAACTGAACCGCATTAATTAAATTAAACCGATGGTTATTTATGGGATATAGTCTTGGGCTTACTTTTGTTTTTAGGAAAAATTATATGGTTTGATTTTAGGCTTACTATTAAGGAAAAACTCCAAAAAACATTGAATAAAATTTCTTTCTTAATGGATCAAAAAATCAATTACCCAAATGTATTTAATATTTTTAACAAAACAAAATTATATATTATTAATCATTTATTTAAATAATGTACTTTAAAACATGTTATTGTATTTTTTATTTTAAATAACAATCAATTTTTTGATAAATTTCAATGGTAACTTTTAAATAATTTATTGTTTTATTTCTCTTAAATAATTTACTGATTTAAAAAAAAATGTAAAGCAAAACCAAAAACCAATTCTAAAAACTAAAACCAGAAACCAAAAGCTGAAAACGCATTGTTCTGGATAACATATTGTTATAGTTTTTGCTTTTGTTTATTTACAAAATAAACTATTGCAATTTTTTTTAAAAAAATGTTGTCATCTTTTCAGTTTTAAATTAGATGTTCGATTATTTGAAATTTGTTTGTTGGTAATATCAGTTCAAACTAATTCAGCGGATCTAAAAATTAAAAACCCAAACAAAAGCTGAAAATCAAAAATATAAACTTAAAAACTAAAAACCAAAATCTAAAAATAAAAACTGAAATTAAAAACTAATGAAAAAAATCATCACCACAAATTTTGATAAACTGATTTTATACCAAAACATTCTTTAAATTAAGACATAACCCAATTATATAAATTTTAGTTATAAAAAATTTCCGCGCTTTCAAGCGCGGGTCAAAATCTAGTTTATATATAAAGAAGAAGAAATTCTCTTCTCCTTAACCTACCTCAGCATATAATGTCACAAAATATACTCTTTTATATTGTGACATCTGTCCACAAAGTTAAACAAAACGGATCAACATATGTTGGGTCTTGGCCTAATGTAAATTCGGTAGCCCATTAGGTTGTTTTTGTTACTGTGACACATAAGTTAATTAGGGATTCTGAAGCTTATCTCTCTTAGCCGTCGAGTTTTTCTTCCTCCTAACCGATTAGACGCGATCAATTCGTATTCTCTGATCATCTTAACTCTGTCATTTATCGCTCTTGATGTGATGTTACCTATAAAATGGTGACCTTCTCCGTTCTCGATTTCCATCCCAAAACACTAAATCTCTGTAGAAAATTTCAGCTATGGTTCACATGACGGGTTTTTTATCCGATCTCCAGGCCGGACGTTCCTCCTCCACCGTCCAAGTCCGTCTGCTTCGCTACTGGGAAGCCAGAAACTTCCGCCGTGGTGGAGAGCTCATGGGTGTGGACATGCTCCTCTTGGATTCCCAGGTGATGATTTTGAATCCCCTTCTGTTGTGTTTAATCGATTGAGTGCTGGAAAATCGTTTAATTTTACTATGATTTTGGTTGCTCGATTTATATATTATCCATCTGATTTTCGTTTGATGTGTAGATCTTATAAATATTTTGATTTTAATGAGTATTAGCATCCGTTAGAAGGTATTCTATGTTTGGTTTTACGATCTGGGTTTAGTGGTCGAGTTTTAATGTTATTATCAGTATTGATTTCGTATCTGGTACAATTAGTCAGACATTCACGTTTTGGTTGTTTCATATTATAGGATTACATGACATATTATTATGACTATCTTTGTTCTTATACAAGGCTATCTGTTTATTTTGACCATTTGACATTTATATGATATATAAAAAATGTCATTTTTGTTTGATTGGTTTCTGAGTTCCTATATAGATATTAGTTTAGTTTAATTTTATGGTTTGGCATTAGTTTTTTTTTTAATACTTACCATGAGAATGTATCAGACCTATATAAGCTTTTCGTATATTCTCTAATCGATCTCCTTCTAAGTTTTCAACTCGAACGTCCAACATAATAGTGATTATGTCTATTTCAAGAGTTTACTTATCTGACTTGAAAACTGGCGGTTGCTCATCGGTTGTATAGATTAGGCTGTTGCGTTTCTGGGAGGTGAGAAGCAAGAGGCGTGGAGGTGAACTGATGAGAGTTGACATGCTTCTGGTGGACACGAATGTGAGTTTATGGCTTTGTTATCGTTTTCTTACAAATTACATCATTATTTTCAGAAACGGAGATTTCCAATGGTTTAAACATTCTGATATATATTTTAAATCTGCATCACAGACGACTATGATGCAGGCCTCCGTCAATTCACACAGGATCCCAAAATTCCGGGAAACTCTCACTGCCGACAAGATGTTTACTCTATCAAGTTTTGATGTTATCTCATGTACTCGGAACCTCAAGATCACCGAATCACCTTTCATTATTCGGTTCAATGATTATACTGAATTCATTGAGATGACCACCCCATCCTCTCCCTTGCCCTTGGAAGCGTTCCGTTTCCTTTCTGGAACTGAGTTGCTCCGACTTGCTAATACAAATAGTCAGCTCACGGGTATTGTACTAGGTTTAGTGATATCCTATATAATTGATTATTTAATATATTAATATAATTTCGACGTAGATGTTGTTGCTGAGGTTACTGGAGTGAAAAGCAACGTGAGAAATCCTCCAAAGAAAAAAATCATCTCATGACAACAGTTAATCTTGATAGGTAATCCAACTTACAGAGTTTTAAAGCTATTCAATAATAACATATTGTATATAAGGACAATACTAACTTAGTTATAATAATTACAGCGGTCTCTCTGTTACATTGAGTTTCTTCGACTCTCAAGCTATCACTATGCAGAAGAGACTTGATTCAATGTGTGCTGGTCCAAAGGTGATTGTAGCCACAAACCTGAATCCAAGAACCGTAGGAGGTATATAAATAATAATATTTGGTTGTCTGCGAACAATGATTTCCTTTTAATATACTTTGTATAAACTGCATCTGTGTAGGCAAATTGTTCCTCAACGCCACTACCGGTACACACGTTTATTTTGACAAAGAAACATGTGACGGAGAAGCGTGCTTTACCAGGTTTGTTCGACATCTTATACATCTACTATTGTCCTCATATACATTATCGTAATGCAATATGTCATTCATAAATAAAATAAAAATAATGGTGATCTTATTAGTACGAAAAAATAATATTATACGCTGTCATTTCATAAGTAGATATGAAATGCAAGGTTTAAAATAGCATAACGGTTTAGCTGTTTACATTCACTGTATAGAAATATAGTAACGTTTCTTGTGTGTTCTCCAATTTGAACTATTTTTCATATATTCATATGAGAATTAATATGATCAGGTCTCCTAAGTATATATATGTTTTTTTTAATTTAGGTATAAAAACTTGATATACCAAACATACAAAAAAATGACTCAAGATATTTCACATGTATTGACAGTTACAAGAAAAAACAAATAATATTTTTAGAAAGAAAAACAATTCACGCTAAGAAAAAAAACCAACTTAAACATAATAACCAACATTAATGACATGAAGTATTGACCCAAACTCTAAAACGCGTAATAATAACAACAAACATTATTCATGGCTTATCAGCTTTTCCTAGAGAGAATTATTATTTACGTAACAATTACACTTTTTAAACCGAGAAAATATCTCACATGTAACTGTAGACATAAAACCATATAAATATGTTGGTATATGTTTTCTATTACAACAACCTACTAATACATCCCTTTACATAAATATGGAACCAGATCAAGATTATTCACTATTTTTTGAAACAGAAACACATCATGCGACATATGGTGCTACAGGGATGCTCACAATCAATATCCACCGGTTCAATACCAATGAAGACAACATTTCAATTCCTCTGGAATTTGCAACTACAAATGTTGGATCCCTTACGGATTCAACATTTACAGTCATCCAATATACGCTCATATGTCAGAACATCAGCACTTATTCTTCCCTGAGAATTGCTGAGAAAACGTCAACATACGTATCGGAAATGGTTTCGTCTCTCAACAACTATGAACAAACAAATGTACACATTATTTTACATTTGACTCATTTTAATCCTCCTTCAGTTTACATGATGGAGATACAAACTGCTGCATCAGTTGTGGAATCTGATGTGACGATATAAACAACAAAAGATGAGTACGAAGAATGTACCATATGCATGGACATAATTTCAGAGGGTCAAAATATGAATTCCTTGCAATGTGGTCAAATATATCATCATGAATGCATCATTAATTGGGTCAAAATCAACGATAGCTGTCCTCTATGTAGAGAGACAATCTTTTAAATAACATGTACCGAACTTTAGGAGAAAATAACCTCCAGGTTTTTTATGTTATGTTCTACTCATAAGTACTTTATTTTATCTTCTAATAAATTGTTTTCAATATTATGAAATCAAATTTTAAATTTTCTATACTAAAAATTATTTTTTCATAATTAATAAATTATTACATTATGATCAATATATATTTCATAGCTGTGATTATAATTTATAAGGATGACCAAATAGCAAATATTGTAAATTAAAATTTTAGTAACATTGTAAACATAACACCAACTAAATTAGACAAAGCAACAATAAATCGAAATATTAATTTAAAAAATTATAATATATCAAGTTCTGAAAATTGTAAAAGTTTTCGAAATTGTTAATTAGATAAACTTATTCCGTTTAATCTTTTCTGATAGAACCATATATGTAAAATATAAAAATTAATCAACGCATGCTCATAACATCTTCCACTGAGTAATAAACCACATTCGTTATCCACTAACATTCAGTAAATATATAGCGCCAAACTTACTTAGCATTAATACTGACATCGACATCGAGTGCTATATAAACTGCATTTATAAAATGTTTCGTATCATATCAAACTCACCAAGAAAAACTAAGGATTAACTTCCGTACCAATATGAAAAATTCAAGAACTAAGCCTACATCACATGATATTTATAACAAATACCATGATTTTTTTTTTGTTGACACAAATGATAAACTCTAACAACGAAAATAACTATTCCCAAACTTAAAGATTAAGTATACTGAATTAAAACTACAACCATATAAAAACCATAAAATTACCTTAAAATCCATATGCACAGAATGTTAAAATCTCAAAATAGGTATTAATGAAGTTTGGAATCTTACGAATATTAAACTTATAATATTAAACCATATGCTTTATGAAATAAGTTTCAAAATGTAAAATATACAATAATCACTATGCTACAGAATATACCATCCGTATATATCACACATAAACAAACACACTAATAAACAACAATATAAAATATAAATGGTCCAAGAATAAAAATATAAAAAATAAAAAAAACGCTGAAGGCCGAACAAAAAATAAGTTGACAGATAAAAAAATGGAATAAAATTGTCTACATACAAATTACATCCCGCGCGTAGCGCGGATCTCCCCTAGTGTTGACAAAAAAAAAAAAGAGTAGCTTCCTCGTATATTATTGACATTCGTTATTGGAAAAGTACATAAATCGGTGTACCCATTTTATTCATTTATCTAAGCAGGATTATGCATGGGAACAGAATTATTGATTATTGACTTATCATAGTAGTATTAGTTATTCAAAAATAAAATCGCTTACTTTTTAAATATAAAAATNGATTATGCATGGGAACAGAATTATTGATTATTGACTTATCATAGTAGTATTAGTTATTCAAAAATAAAATCGCTTACTTTTTAAATATAAAAATCCCGTAATTGATGTCAAAAAGATTCTGTAATTATCTAGTCATAGACAACATATTGATTTGTTCCGCCAGCCAGATGACTTCATAATTATTGGTCTCAATTTTTATTTTATTTTTCAACTATTGATCTCAATTATACGAACAAACTTATATTCTCTCTGTTTCTAAATAAAATGTTTTAGAAAAAATATAACACAGAAATGATTTTATATTTTTATAAATTTATTATATAATAAAAGTTATATATAAATAACTAGTTAAATTATAATTATTAATGGTTTAACAAAAATAATAATTTTATGATGTTTTAACCTGATTGCTTTTAATATGTGTAAAAATATAAATCTATTAATAAGAAATAGAGGTAATATATAATTTTCAAGTTATTTTGAAAGAGAATGAAAGTCAGGATTCAACAAATTAAAAAGAAAGACAGAAGACAGAAGAAGAAGGCTGGAGGAACCTAACATTCACATGCTTCTTCTTCAATGTGCCACTCTTCCTCCAACACACTTATCATTTCTTGTCTTTGCTGTCTTTTGGGTCCATCAATCATTATTATATTTTCCCACTCATAAATTTACTTTATCTTACAACTCATCTAATATTTTAATTACACGACAAGTAGGCTTCAAAACATATATACTTTTGTCTGAATATTATGTTCTGAACCAAAAACAAACATTGAAAACATTCTGATCTCCGGAGAATGCTCTGCGCTTCTCCGCCGCTAATACTGTCAATAGACTGGAGAAGACAAAATGGCAGCGTGGAAGTCATGGATTGTGGCCGAGAAAGCACGGAGATGTGTAAGGACCATCTTCTTTATGGCAGCAATGACGGCGTCTCTGTTAGCTTCTTCTTTACCGGTTCTGATCACCGTGGCTGATGTGGTTGTTCCTTGTGTCATCGTCTCCAGCATCACGTGCCTCACGTGCCACTCCCCCTCAGAACATCTTCGTCAGTATAGTTTCAAGACATCTTTTATTGATGTTCCACTCATCTCACTCCTCAGATCTCTCGCTATTATCTGTATGGGAACATTCTCCTTCTTTCCACATTATTACTTGATATTATTTATGATTCATTAAGCTCATGATAATGGAAACAGGTCTCTCTTGTCTATGTGAAGACACAAGACTAGCATATGGTCCTTATCTTGAAACAGTGATGTCACTTTCCTTTGGAGGGTTTCTTCTTCTTTTGGTTAAATCTTGTGTGTTCATTATGAATCCTCACATGGAAGGAAAGGTCTATAACCTCAAGATCTCATGGGCAATGCCGGTTTTGTTACTATCATCAGCGGTGTTCGGTTTAGCTCATGTGGTGGTAGCTTATCAAAAGACTTGTGGAGCAAGAAAGAAGCTCATGTACCACAAAATTGACCAAGAAGCTGTAAAACATTTGACTCTTGTTTTTTCACCTATCTTGAGATAGGAGCTAAACTCTTATGTTTTTTTTTCAGGTTCTCTCGTCTAAATCTGGTTTCTTGGGTTACAAGAAAGCTCATCGTCAGTCTTTCACTAGGTCAAACTGCAAAATCTTAACCTTTGCTGGTGATTTGAGACAAAAGTCTTTCAGGGAAACATCTTTGGAAAGAGAAGAGGTGATACAACCAAGACTACTTGCAAATGCAGACAGTTTATTCATCAAAATCCAAGGGCTAAATGTTCACTACAAGAAGTGTTCTGCAGCAGAAGTGAATGCAAGAAGGGTTAGACAACTAGACAAGCAGATGTCAAACTTAATAGTGCAAACTCAAAGCAATCATTTGCACAGAAGCTACACCATTCAGCCTGATAGATCCTCTTTATATGATCCTCTGTTAGCGAGCTATCCAACTACACCTATTAGCTTGTTCAACAAGGAAGATATAAATCATATGAATCGTGGCGATGATCTGGAGAAAAATGAGAGTGTTGGTGTAGTTCTAGTCCATGGATTTGGAGGAGGAGTCTTCTCTTGGAGACATGTAATGGGAGAGCTGTCTCTTCATCTTGGATGCAGAGTTGTTGCCTATGACCGGCCTGGTTGGGGCTTGACCTCTAGGCTTGTACAGAACGATTGGGAAGAGAGAAACCTACCTAACCCCTACAAGCTTGAGAGCCAGGTGGATCTACTACTTTCTTTCTGTACCGAGATGGGGTTTTCATCGGTGGTACTCGTTGGCCATGATGATGGTGGTTTGCTTGCTCTCAAGGCTGTTGAAAGAGTACAAGGCTCTACATGCAAATGCAGTGTAAGAGATTTAAAGTTACTTTACAAGTGTATGACTCTTTTGTTACTTGCAACTAAAGATACTTTTATTGTTTAATGATCCATAGGTTTCAATCAAAGGGGTGGTTTTGATAAACGTTAGCTTATCAAGGGAAGTAGTTCCTGCCTTTGCGAGGATACTTCTTCATACATCACTCAGGAAGAAGCACTTGGTTCGTCCTTTGTTGAGGACAGAAATAACCCAACTGGTGAACCGGCGTGCATGGTGTGATACCACCAAGCTAACCACTGATGTCTTAATGCTCTACAAGGTAATCACACCAACCATTGAGACCAAAGCAGTTAGTTACACATCTACTTAATGCCTTGCTTGTGGGTTGTTTCAGGCTCCTCTATGCTTAGAAGCTTGGGATGAAGCACTCAATGAGATAAGCAAGTTATCATATGAGATGATTCTTTCCTCTCAGAATGCATCAGCTCTGTTGAACTCCATGGGAGATCTTCCGGTCTTAATTGTTGCTGGGGCTGAAGATGCTCTTGTTCCTTTGAAATCCTCACAAGTTCTGGCTTCTAAACTCACCAATTCTGTAAGTTTAACATCTTCTCACAGAGACATTCACAGCTTACTTCTTGTGTATTAACTGTGTGTGTGCGTGTGAACAGAGATTTGTAACCATATCTGGATGTGGACATCTCCCACATGAAGAGTGTCCTGCAACTCTTGTATCCGCTCTCGGTTCCTTCATTTGCAGACTGATACCTAAACAACCAAGCTCCTAAAACTATCTCAAAGACTAAGAGCTTGATGAAACAACAACACCTGCAAGAACTCAGCAGCTCTACACAAAAATATGACTTCACTAGATTTGCCACAAAGGTATCACACTATCTGCACAAACTGGAGCTTTGGAATGAAACTAAGGTCAAGTGAATATATTCTTCTCAAGCATAACCTGTGCTTGTTCTTATGTACCATGTAAATATGATTTCTGTTAAAAAAAGATCCTAAGTAGATGATATGAACAAATCAGAAAGGTAGTGAGAAAATGAGTTTCAGATAATCATCACATACATATGCATAAAGATAGATAAATCAGGTGGCGTCTCTAACACAAAGTAGGCAGATAAAAGAACAATAACAAACAGATCCTAGAAAAGAGCTCTCTAGCGTCTTCTTTATAAAACACACACTCTCTCTCGAGATACTTAAAGAAACAGAGAAGCAAAGAGTGGTAAGAAGCTATTCCTTGGCGGATTTGTTGATGAGAGACTTGTGGATGTGAGGGATGACACCACCACCAGCTATAGTTCCTTTGATGAGAGTATCTAGCTCTTCATCTCCACGAATCGCAAGCTGCAAGTGCCTGGGGGAGATACGTTTCACCTTGAGGTCCTTGCTGGCGTTACCAGCCAACTCCAAAACTTCTGCGGTCAGATACTCCAATATCGCTGCGGTGTAGACAGCTGCAGTTGCTCCAACCCTTCCGTGAGCAGTGGACCTCGTCTTCAATAGCCTATGCACCCTTCCTACAGGGAACTGCACAAATAAATAAATAAATTGAACAATTAGCCAAAACAATGAAGCAAAATAAAGATACAAAAAAACATCACAAAGCATTGTTTAATTGTTCTTGGGTTGAAGCAAGAGTGTTTATAATCTGAGAGACACAACATCAAACATTTTGAAGAATCCACAAAATGAGAGAACCTCACAAGGCTGAAGAAAATACACAGTGACGAATCAAATTAACTTTTTGTTGATGTCACCACCTTAAACTACTCTCAAGTACCATAATCATTAGTAGTCCTAGATTAAAAACACTCAACTCTCCATTGCTAGAACCCACCAATGAGAAACTTCACAAGCTTTAACACCAACAAATGGTTAACGAATTAGCTTTTCACTATTGTTACAACCTTAAAGTACTCTCAAGTAAGTACCACAACAATGACTAGCCCTAGATGAAAAACACAAATTTCTATTGCCAATGCTTATGTAAACTTCATACGAGAGCCAAGAGCTGGTAACAAGAGGAAAGATAAGCAACAGACCTATCACGCCAAGAGAGAAAATACACTAAAAATCAAGAGATCGACATTCAATACCAAACACAAACGGGATTGAAGAACTCACTAATGGGTTAAAAGAACAAGAGTATTTATAATCTAAGAACTTTGAAGAACCCACTAAATGCGAAAACCTCACAGCTTCAACACCAAAAGAAGGTCAAGAAAACACACGGTGGCGAATCAAATAAGCTTTTTCTTGCTCTTACGACCTTATACTACTCCAAATAGCATAACCAAATTAATTAGTCTTAGGTAAAAAAAAAAATTCAAATCTCCATTGTTACCTACCAAGGAGAAAAGCTTCAACACCAAAAGAAGGTTCAAGAAAACACACATTGACGAAGCAAATTAGCTTTTTCTTGCTCTTACAACCTTAAATTACTCTCAAAGCACCCTAAACCCTGACTAGTCCTAGAAAAAAAAATGAAATCTCCATTTGTAGCCCCAACCCCCCAACGAGAAACTTCAGAAGCTTAAACACCAGAAAAAAACGGTTCACAGAAACACAAACTGATGAATCAAAATCAAGTTAGCTCTTTTATTGTTGTTACGACCTTAAAGTACCACAACAAAAGACACAAATCGCCACCATGAGAAACTTCACAAGCCTAAACACTCAAATCAAGTTAGCTCTTTTATTACTGTTACAACCTTAAACTACTCTCAAGCACCACAACAACGACTAGCCCTAGATTAAAAAAAAAAAAAAACTCAACTTTCTATTCCCATCGCTTACAAAAACTCTAAAAGAGAGCTAAAGAGCTGCTTCCAAGAAGAAAGATCAAAAATCAAGAGATCTCTACTTCATTATCAAAGCTTATTGAAGCAAGTTAACACAAAGAGAAGACCTAATCTGATAAAATCAAAACCCTAGCTCATAACATTGTCGATCCGCCAATTATTTAAGATTGGATTCTGAAAGAGACAGAGAGTTCTGAATTTTGTTTAACCTGAAGACCAGCTCGAGCAGAACGGGTGATGGGTTGTTTCTTCTTGTCCTTATCTTTCTCGCTACCACTGGGTTTCCCCATTATCAATCCCTTCGCTCCTTTCCCCGACATTTTCTCCCCTAAAAAGTTTCACACTTTGCGCTCTTACAAAGAGAGAGAGATCGGTACCAGAGGAAGAGTTTGCGAGAGTCGATAGATAGAGATGTTCCCCCACACAAAGATAGATCGAGAAAGACAGTTGACGCTTTTACCCTCCTACCTCTACGCTAATTACAGCTTGAAAAGCCCAAAGCCCAAAGCCCATTAACAAGACAAGCTATTACAGATTTCTCTCTCTCTAAATCTACAGACAAGTCTTCAATGTGATCTGTTTGTTATATATACTCTACTATATCTATCTATCTATAATAATAAAGTTAACTTATCTACCCCTACAATCGTCCACGTCACTTCCTTTTAATATGAGGTTTTTTTGACACGTGTCGAGCTCTGCATTCTTCATCTTTTTTTTCGTTGACAGAAAACTTATGGGCTCATTAGATTTGTTGATGTCTATAGCAGAGTATGTGCTTTGTTTGGGCTCTTGTTCTGGCTCAAAATAGATAATAATAATAATAATATGAGAAAGCGAGCTCGGCCGTCGCTTCCATTTTCTTCACATGATGCCGCTTCTGAGATACTTTCAGTAACGCGTGAGTTTTCCATTTATATGCTCCTTCAATCTGTGCATTAACATCATTTATTCTACTCGTCCTATTCTCCAGCAATTACTCGAGCTCTCCATCTTCCCAAGTAACCGGCTGGAAACGCTCCTATAAATTTGCAAGCTCCAAACGATGAACAATACAAACTCTATGAAATCAAAATGGTCACTACAAGAAAACACGTCCTTTACTAGGACGGGTTTTCCTCGTTATTTCCTAGTAAAGGGCCCTTTACTAGGAAATAGCGAGGAAACGTGTTTCGTCGAAAGACGTTCATCGTAAAGGCTATTTTCCTCGTAAAGGCCTAGCTAATTTACGAGGAAAGATTTCCTCGTAAAGCCGTGGAAAACATTTCCTCGTAAG